AAGTCAAAGTGGTCTTTTGCAGACAGATACTAAGTTATGGTGATTGTGCTCTGAGAAGAAGGCAAAGAAACAAAGAAAGTAAAGAAGACTTCGGGTATATTATGGGACCCCCCTCACCCCACACTTGGTGCTAAGGTAACGAAAACTGGAAGAAGGTAGTTAGGGCACCTGTGGGGTCTGCCTGACTGGATGTTCTCTGAGAGTAGGTAGACAAGCCCCTGCCASAGACAATTGTGCTGTACATGGTCCTGCTGCAGTGCTGGAGTGGTTTCCTAGATAACCTCTCAGATTCTTTCTGTCCCCACGTTTCTAGGAAGATATCCAGTGGGCTGGAATTTCTTACTACCAGTGACCTTTAACTGACAGATAAGCTCTAAGCTCCTGCTGCTTCTTTCATCCACTTCCAAGTAAGAACTTTAAGACTCTGCATTCTGACTATTTCCCCCTGAAATACTTAGCTGATGGTTTCACTTCATTTGTGAGAAGCAACGAGAGAACCAACAAAGGCTGGTTTCCAATGGATTTGTGGTCACTACTTCTCTCACCCTCTGCTGTAATACCAGCATTTCTCCCAGCCCTCATGTACTCTGCACTGTTTCTCAAAGTCTCACGGCACAGTGCCCACTGTCAACAGTACTTGCAGCTCCCCATTGTCTTTTTGAGTTCCACCCCATCAACCCCCTTGACTGCTCCCTCCCTGATGGGTAGGGAGGCTGTCCCATATGTTTCCAGCTGTTTTGGGCCTATGTTTATGTTTAGTGGCTAAATGAAAGAACAAAGAGACCACTTAACTGTTGAATTCACTCTGAAGCTTTTCCCTCAGCATGAAAATGAACATGGATTACTTTCTTTGATCCAGCTGTGAGTTTCATGACATTTGCAGAAGCTTGTAGACCGCTATCAAACTTACCTCAAATGAACTAAAGGGATCAGAAATCATTGGCAGACAGACAAAAGATATTGCTGCAAGAACTTGATTTGTTTAAGTATTCGGGCTAAGACTACTTTTAAGAATACTTATATTTCATGTGTTTTTAAATACCATAAGCAGTGATTTTGATAAACATTTTGTCTCTGTTTTGTGAGAGAAATACAAGACATAATTTAAAAAGTTTTGGCACTTAATCTTGAGGGCATACCCAGTATATAACTTAATAGTTTAGGACAAATACTAATAAATAACTGAGTCTTTRAATGTTTTTCACAGCTACAATAATMTTTCCTTGCTTCCAACTGGTTTAACTATGCAATAATTCTGATGCTTTTAGCATTTCAAATAGCTCAGATAAACCAAGATATTTTTGCAAAGGCCATATTTGAAGAAAGTAGGTTACACTTGCTCCAGTCTGTTAATAACAGCTAACATTTCGCACTACTGTTTTTTCTACACTGTAATTAGACTCAYGTAGAGCTGACTTCTATTCTGATAGGTAATACAGTGAATTGAGACCCTTCAAGTACAAGCACATTGTGTGCAGCAATTGCAAGAGTTGTAAGAACTCGGAAATATTTAGGACCGTGGTCAGATGCCTCCTGATTCCTCACCAGTGGATGGCTKGATGCCACACCTCTGGCAGAACTGAGGCAGAAGCATAGGAAACATTATTCAGTGACAGTAATCTTGTGTCTCAGGGGACTCCCAGCCCATTTTCACATTGTCTTGATCACAGCTGAACAGACTTCTGACACACAACTGATTACAAATAATAGTCCAGCAACATTAATACATTTTAAAAATAACATAAAAATACAATGATCAAAGGTTTCTACATTTTTTCCAGTCCTTAGTAAGCTCAAGTAGATGAAATATTTGGTATATGTCCTTAATCTATGAGGATACCATATTTCCATACTGTCAATTTCCTGGATCTGAGCTGTGAATGGTAGGCTTTGGGTCCTATAGTGTAGTGTTTACAAAGCTGTAAGAAGATGCACATTTGAAGTGGCTTTAAAATCTGTTCGTGTCTCAATTTGGACCAGCTGTACACAGTCACTGTTTGGGATCAGCTCTGAGCTGACTGCAGAAGGAACCCTTAAGGACAAGGAAAGCCTCGTTGAATCCTCTGTGACACAGCTGTGCAAGACTCAAACATGATCGTGGCACCCTTAATGAGAAAGTCCTCATTAAACCCCYCATCCTCTCCCTCTGACTCAGAAGTGGTAGCACAGAGTCCAAACACAGAGCACACTGATAAGACAAGAAAAAAAGAGACTTCTAATGCTTAAGAGAGACTTCCAGCAATTGGAGATGTGTGCTAATCCGTTTGGGTCTTTGCTTCTGGCAAACATTTGGGTTTAGAACTACAACTTCTGGGGTGTTAGTGACGGGMAAGGGGCTGGGGGATCAGTGGGTAYTGCTGGAGAAGGGTAYGTGGAAGGATTGCGAGGTGATCAGGAAATAAAAGGGACTTAACATGCACMTACACTAAAGGGGTATTTGATTATCCTGGGAACGTGTAAATGGGGCCGTTTAGCAGGCCTAGTGCTATYCAGATAGGTATTAATAGTCAGGCTAGAGCAGGGGAAGTGAATTTCAATCAGAGAACTGATTTAGAGCAGCCCTTGCCTGTCAATAAAGAGAATCAGCCCAGGCATACCATTAAAAAATGCATTTATTTATGTTGCCAGTGATATCATTCTATGTAACAGATCCCATGGTAGCTTAGCTCAGCCCTGAGAGCTGCTGTTGTCAAAAGCCCCAGTTCTCTCTTATCCACAGCAAATGAAGAATCTTTAGGTATTTGCTCAGAGCAGACTTGGAAATACAGACTCCCTGTGCTGTGCTAAACGGCAAATACCAGCTTCTGAGCTGCTCAGTACGAGCAGTTTCTAAATAATCTCACAAACTGGTCACCTGAGGGTAAGTTCAGTACAAGTAAATTATTCTTACTTGGTGAATTATCCTCTTCAACTGCATGCAGCAAGAGACAAAAAGAATTTATAACTTTTTTCTTAACCAACAMGTGATATAATTAATAAAGGTATCCATAGGCAAAGACAAAGTGTATAACATCATTAGGATATATACACTGCAAATGTAATTTACATTAGCTATGTTACAGTGACTATTTTGTTAAGTGTTGTTTCAAATAATTCTAAAATAAGATGATGCTTTAAGGAGGAGATATAGCTTGTCAGTGGTTTAAAATTAGATCATATATTCTGTGTAACTCAAACCTGCTCCTTATTGGATGTGCATGCACGTGTGTGGGGGAGAGAAAGAAAAAAATCCTCTTTTACTACTCTTTTCATCTGCMCTTTTGAATCTCAAAATGGAAATGTATATTAAACGAGAGTGGAATGTAATTAGGAGATTTTTGCTGTGGCCCACCTCCTCTAAAATTCACCCCTTGCTGCGCCCTGTCACAAACCCCTCATCCATTAGTAAGATATTAAGCAGGTGAGCACTTATGCCAAAGAAAATGCACAAAGTTAAACACATRTTTAAATGCTTTACTAAACTAGATCCTTATTACTGATCATGATGGCTTATCCTGAAAATCCTAACTACATCTGCTAAGCATTTGTGTTATTCCAAGGGGGGCTTCCACRGAGCAGGAGGAAAGCTGGGTGATCAGCCTGTGCTGCTTTGGCTTCACACAGGTGTTCTGCAGGTCAGTGTTAAAAGCCGCTGGATTAAGGGCTTAGTTTTGAAAACAGCAGTAGGAATTAYCATCTTGGAGTTAAAACAGTAAGGGGAAAGAAGAGGAAAGATTACGGTTACAGAAACACAACCAGTAAGRCACCGTAGTTGCAGAGAGAGGGAAAGTGGCTCCGTGCCCGTTCCGGCGGGATGCCGGGGGCAGGCGAGGCGAGCGGGGCAACCCCCGCCAGGCGCCCGGCGACGGGCCCGGAGATGCCGAAGGCGCAGTTGCCGATTCTCAGCCAAACGTCGTTCCCTCCGCCAAGCACCTCCCTCCCGGGCATCCCGACTGCCCCACGAGTCCCGGGGGAAGCCGAGGAGCAGCCCGTGCCCCCGCCATCCACCCAGAAACGCTGCAAGAAGCAAGAGCGCCTTCCCCAGAGCGGCACGTAGCCCTGACACGCATCAGCCCACGCTGCGGATCTGGYTGGAGCTGCCTTGCCCCGGAGCGCGGGGGCTTTTCCTGCTGCCCGCGGAGGAGGGAGGCGGGCGGAGGGGGCGTTTTGGGCACCCGGCCCCCGCTGCTGCGTTCGCCCCACAGCCGCTCCCGCGGGTCCCGCCGCTCGCCCCTGGCGCGAACCGCAGCGGCGCCGCCTCAGGCCCGGCCACCAGGTGTCGCTGCCACGCGCCGCGGGCGACCCCCGCGCCCCAGCCCGGGCCCGCGGAGCCTCCGTGGGCTCTCCACCCGCGACCCCCGCGCCCCGGGAAAGCGGAACGGCTCCCACTGCGGAGAGCGCTTCCCCCGCCTCCGTCCCGAGCTGAGCCGCCTGCAGGTGAAGCGAGGTGCCTCGACGCCTCTCCGCGGCAGCAGCACCGCCTCCCCCGGCACCGCACGGCGCCGTCCTCCTGCCCCGTGAGTGGCTGCCGGCTGACTGACAGGCGAGGCGGCCACATAGGGCGGCCGCTGCTTGGCGTACACCTATAAGGGCTGGCGGCGAGGGGCGCCGCGCGGTGCGGGGCTGCCCGTGGCGGAGCCGCCCGGTGAGCATCCATCCTCCYACAGCCGGGCGTCCTCGCTCGCGCAGCCGAGCGCTGGCTTCCCGGCAGCGGTCCCGCCCGCCGATCSCCGCAGCAAGTGGCAGTCCCGCGCCGCGGGCCCCCCTCTTCGGCAGCGGCGCCCGAAGGATGCGGAGCGGCGGAGCGCGGGCGGCGGCGGGGCGCCGCGGGGGGACTCTCCGCTGCGCCGGGCGCGGGCGCCGCCGCCCCTGCGCGCTGTGCCGGGCAGGAGCTCAGTGAGCGCGGTGGCCGCGGCGGGAGGAGGCGCAGGCGGACTCGGCTCTGCCGTCGCCGGAGGGGCTGCGCGCCGCTCCGCGCCGGCGGTGGGGCTGTGCGGAGCCCCGCGCTGGGGAGGTTGCGGGCGGCGCCGCCACAGGTGACTCGYGGGTCGGGGGTCGCGTTCCGCCCCGCTGCCGCTCGGCCGCCTCTGCGCGTTCGCACCCCTGCGTCGCGGCTGCCTGCGCGAAGCCCATCTTCAGCCGCCTCACCGTGCCGGCGCGACCGGCAGCACCGGGGGACATGGCTTTGCTCCRGCTCCTTCTCCTCTTGCTCTTCGCCCAGCGCGGGCTGGGGGCTGCCGCCGACCAAGGGCAGGCGGTGCGCGGCCGGGAGCGGGCGCTCGGAGGGAGGCAGCCTATTTACAACCACATCAAGAGCCGGGAGCCTCCGCCGGCCCCGCGGAGCCGCTCTTCGGAGAGCACCATCTTGGCGCAGCGGCTCGCCGAGGAGGTGCCCCAGGACGTGGCCTCGTTCCTCTACACGGGCGACTCCCGGGAGTTGCGGCGAGCCAACTGCTCCGGGCGGTACGAGCTGGCCAGCCTCGCCGGCAAGTCGCGCTTCACCTCGCACCCGTCCCTGCACGGCGCCCTGGGCACCCTCACCCACGCCACCAACTTACTCAACATGATCCTCCAGAGCAATAAGTCGCGGGAGCAGAACTTGCAGGAGGACCTGGAGTGGTACCGCGCCTTGATCAGGAGCCTGCTGGAGGAGGACCCCAACATCTCCAGGGCCGCTATCACTTTCAGCACGGAGCCTTTTTCCTCCACTCCCCAGGTTTTCCTCCAGGCCAGCAGGCACGAGAGCCAGGTCCTCCTGCAGGACTTGTCCTCCTCGGCTCACCGCCTGGCCAACGCCTCTGTGGAAACGGAGTGGTTCCACGGCTTGAAGCGCAAGTGGAGGCCGCATCTGCACAGGAAGGTCTTAAACACGGGCCCCAAAACTTTGGAAAACAGTTGGAAGAGACGGGAGAGCTTCAGTGCTGATAAGAACCACATCAGGTGGTCTTCACCGTACCTGGAGTGTGAGAATGGGAATTACAAACCCGGCTGGCTGGTGACTCTCTCGGCGGCTTTCTATGGGCTGCGGCCAAACCTCCTGCCCGAGTTCAGGTAGGAGGAGTGTTCTGCTTGCTTTCTGTGGAGAAGGGGAGGGGGGAAGTAGGATGGGGGTTTGGTTCTGCCGCCCTCCCTGCGAAGGGCATTCTGTGTCTATGGGTGACCTGATCAAACCCTGCCGCACTTGCTGCTCAGTCACACCGCAGAGCACCCTCAGGCCTTCCTGTTGAGCTGTACCTTCGTGTGCCTCAGGGAGCTGTTGCTCAGTAAAAGAATCGCTCTCGTCTTTCTCCGTAAGGCAGCGCTTGCTTTACTTGCTCCCACTGGAGCAGGTGCTCATGTGGGTTACCTTCCTGGTGTGCTTGTGGTGGGGAGAGGAGAGCAGCACTTGCCAGTTGATGTTTATCTCTGCAAGAAGAAAATGTTCACTGAGGTGTTATTTCGGTCCTATACTGCATGATTAAAGCTAGCTGGACYCCAGCTGGGAAATAACATTGTTGTGCTGGTAAACTGCTGTTTCTGGTCTCCAGAGCACATCCACTGCGGGGTGCTCGAGCCCGGTCAGTGGTCAGTACACTTGTAGGGAGAAATAAGTGTTGGTGACTGCAGTGCTATCATAGTGCATGTAGCTATAGCCTGAACTGGGAGTTGGAAAGCTTTCCTTAGGACACCACCAGCTGCATGGYTTTATATTTAATACCTGGCATATTTAAAGATTTGCTTATTTTTTTATTGCTTTATATACTTTTTATTGTTTTCTATGTACTTTGCCWCTGAGCTGCAACTAGCAGAGGGAAAGATAGAAAAAGGCTCTTTCTCGTGTATTTGTGTTTTGGCAGCAAAGACAGATTTGCTCAAAGAATGAGAGCAACCTGTAGAGTACAAGATGCCAGATTTTTCCCCAGCACTTTTGGGAGGGGTTCACTGGTATGTCTGTCCAGTGGGGAATGCCCYCTGCCCAGAAGCAGCTGGCATTTGTCAGGATGAGAGAGTAGCACAGAATTTCTCTTTTTGAATTAGTAGTAGGTGAAGATAGATAAGAACATAGCAAACACCAAAGAGATTTTGCCACACCTAGGTGGTGAGGCAGTAGTGTTTTTAAATGCTGTTTCTCTTGGCTGAAATCCAGTGAGATCAAAGAGATATGAGTGCAGTCATAAATCCCTGAAGAAACCGAAAATCTGCTGAATGGATAATGGCTGCTTATTTCTCTGTTGAATAACTTTTTGCTCTGAAATGTTCACACTTACGGGTATGGTAGGGTTAAGGTAAAATGAGCTCATATGTAGACTGTTGCTGAATTCCTCTCAAGGCAAAACCCGAGAAGAGGTTTATTGCTGAATTCCTTTTGAGACCAAAACCCAGGAATAGGTCTACTGTCGAGCTCTTCTGGACCTGGGGAATCCAGAGCAGTCAGGAAACTCGTMATAGGTCATTGAAATGCAGTGTTCAACACCTGATGAACTTCAGGATGGTGTTCTTTACCTTGATGAAAGTTAATGTAGACTGATTTTCTCTTGTTGGGGATAGAGTTTCACAGAACCTGCAGAACCACTAGGCTGGAGGTGTGGTGGCAGCCACCAGCCAGCTCACTGAGAATATAAATTTTGATATAAAGCTTAACTCAAAGAAGCTTCAATCTTGACTTAATTGAAGARGAAATGAACCATTGTTTTAAGTCAAAGAGTCTAAAGCTTCAATCCCAGCTCTATGCCAAGATCCTGTGATGGCAGGAAGCATCTCAGTGGTGTAGATTTCTGCTGTGGTAGCTTTGGTGTGCAGAACACACCAGGTCTGTTTTGGAGTAACCCTGGCCAGCTAAGGCAACCAGTAGATGTCCTCCTGGATGCAGTACAGAGCACTGCCTTCCTTGCCTCATCTTCCCAGCCTCTGATTGCCATGTGGGGGTCACTTTGTTCCAACTCTGATACTTKGAAGGGCATTCACTGAGCTCATCCAAGCTTGGGGAACCACTTCATATTTAGAAGATCTTGAGATGGAGTATGCTGTGCAAGTTCAAAGGGTTCTGTCGCTGTCATACTAAACAGTTAGGATAAAGCTAACACAGCTTTGCTGTATCAACAGAGATGAGTTTGTAAGCATTTCTAAGAAAAAGGGGTTAATACCTTTTTTGCCAAACTATTAAAAAAGCAGATGGAACAAGTAAAATTATAAATACATACACASGCATTCTGGCAAGGCTAAATGATAGTTTCTGTGTTCCCGATTTGGGGTATGCTGGATGAAAGATGGGCTTTAATATAGGATGGGATATTGAGAAAGTAATTTCTCAGCTACTCAGAAGCAAAATAGKCTTCTTCCAAGACTTGTAGTTTATCTCAATATTTACAGAGGGTTTTCAATACTTGATAGGTACAAAGCCTCAGTGTGAGTTTTTAAGAGGAAAAAAATGGTTTAAAGTATGAGCACATAATAGAAACATAAAATCTAGTGTGGTTACTGGAAAATTGGTGKGAATTACTATAAGATGCCTCTTGAAGTAAGCTTCATTTCCCCTCACCATCAGTCTTCGAGTGACACAATATTTTGACTTGAAATTCTTATTTAAGACCTGTATGATAAAGTGTTTATTAACCTCCACCTTTTGGGACAGCTACCTTGGTTCTCCCAACAATGTATCTTTGAACCATCTGTTAGAAACGTTTTAATGAATCAGTTTATTTTCTCCTTCCATTTAGTAGTCTGGCATGATGCCATTAACGGTAATTTAGTGTATGCCCCTATAATATTATTCTAACAGTTTGTGTACTTTCTTTGCTTACATTAGGTTTAAGGTATGGTACAATAGGGTGAGATATGTTCAGGAACATGATTATCTGTGAAAGACAGTTCTTTCAGATTACAGAAGGAAGAGACAWTGCTCCTTCTTGGTATCCCTTCTGTGGCAGTAACAGATGGGTTTGTTCATGTGGCGTAGCAGAGGAAAGAGTTTAAYGAAGGCTGTGCTAGTAACTGCTACTGGGGATGTTCAGTGTGTGCTGCTGCTGCAGTGCTGCTGTCAGTGACACTCTGAAAGGGCAGCCAAGAGCAGCAAGCTTTGTTCTCAACGTTGTGAAGAGGTACAGTGCTTTTGGCCTGTGGATGTGGGTGTTACAGGCCAGGGGGCTCCTGCAAACACAGCTGYCTTCAGTTTCACCTCTCCCATTCCCAAGAGGTTACTGGGTTACTGCCAGACTGCCCAGAGTGAAGGCCGAGGGAATATGGTTGTTTAAGTTGTCTTGCCATGGCTAATGCTGTAGACGAATACTGAGATGAAGTGGAGAAGCCAAAGGCATCTTGATTGTGCTGRTAAATGTACCAGAAGCTGCTCAGGCTCAGTGGAGCCACATTAGCCTAGTACCATGATAAGCTATCATTGCTTGCTGGCTGCAGCTTCTCAGCAGTGCTTGCTGGTGTTTTGTTGTCTACATTGGCTGGTCTTTCCACCCAAAGTACACGGAGAGAACGTTACTACTGCCTGCTTGCAAGATGCAGTGTAGGCTCCATTCAGAAATGAGGATTCACGGAGACTGGAAGTAATCACTCGATGTTAACMATCCCTTCTGTCTAAACTGATGCAGTTTGCAGCTGAAATTCACCACCTAATGTGCCTAATCACTCTACTACTACAGTGCTGCAGGGGGTAGAGCACAGGAGCATCTGTCACAGATCCTCTGTGCCCCTCCTCTGCTTCAGTCTGTCACACGATGACARTGAACCATATTTTATGGCACGTGATGGCCCAACTGTCCTCTTTGCAGCCCTGCTGAAGAAGTGGAAAAGTGTGAGAAGCACAATTCCTTTTCTGAAACTATTTTCTTGATCCCTGGAGAAGAAATGGGAAGTCTTCATTGTTTTAGTGCTCCAGGAAACAAGTGGGTAAGATCGCTTCTTCATCTAGAAGAAAGATGACCAAATAGTCAGCTACTACGAATGCACGAGTTTAAAAAAATGTCCTCCTGAGTCAATCTTCTGCTGTTACAAGCCCACTTAATATAATCAGTTGATAAATCTCCATTTTAAAGTAGGTGGGTTTTCCTCTTGACTCTTCAGTTCACTGGCATGCCAGACCTAATGGTTGGATAACTTCTCCTGATTTCTGATCTGAATTTATTCACAGTCAGTTCTCATCCATTTATTTTGGTCCAGAACTGACTGCCATCTGACTTAGCACTCTTAGCTGGTGTTTACTGCCCTGACTTTTTTATAGGCAGCAGTCCCTTCTCCACCTTTGTTTACTAGACTACACAAACTGGCTTTCTTTAGTCCCTGTCATAAACTCTCTCTGTTGCCATGGTCCTTCCTCTCAAGTCTTGTTCCAGTATTTCCTGAGCATGGTTAGTCAGATTTGTGTGTGCTGTTTCAGCCTTGTGCAATGACATCAATTATCCCAAACTCTGATGAATGAGTTGCTGCTTTTGCAGTTCAAAATGTTCCCTTGTGTGCTGTTCTCATTTTTTTCGATACTGTGCTGTACTGTGTCTACATTTTGGGAGCTGGTCATTGGTCTTGCATGATTTCTCATCTAGGAGGTCAAATTGTCTTCAAGATATGGCCATTGACTTTTTTTCCTCCCTCCCACCATATGCCAGCAAGTTTTCCACCAAAGCCCACCACAGCATTTACTATCTTTTTTAAGGACTTTAGGGGGAATGCGATGGAATAATGTTTGTTTTGGCAAAAAGGTACTCGATAATTTTGGGTTGTTTTTTTTTTTTTTTTTTGATTTATTTTGGGTTTTTTTTTTTTTTTTGTTTGCTTGTTTTTGGTTTTGTTTTTTAGATTTTACTTTATTTTGAATAGTGTCTTGTTGTGAAGTATTTACAGGTAACTTCTTCCTGAAGTTTGGCCAGATCCTGCTACATCTCAATGTCTTTTGTCTTCCAGAAGTTTGATGCTTCTCTCAGTTATTGGAAAGATATTGCTTGATGCAAAGATAATTTTTACTGCACAATTAAATTGAGCTATTCCTTCTCTAAAAGCAGTGTAATGTGATTTCCACTACTAACAATTACTTGGACCACTCTGGTGTTGGACTATAATGGGACTCTTAG